CTCCCGACGTCGCCAAGGGGGGGGGGGTGGGGGGGCAGACCTCGCAGGCCCGAGTACCGTTTGGTCACGCGGCCGATCGCTGCGACTGACCGCCTGATGCTAGCGCGATCGGCGCGGCCGGTCGCGCGGTCGAACCAAGCGCGCGATCGGTGATCTCCACGACGGCGACCCCGTGGCTGGCGGACAGTGGTTGGGGACGGTGGGCTGGTGGCCCCCAGAGGACGGCGATGTGCCCCTGGTCGGGTGTCTCTGAGGCTGATAGTCGAAGCGCGGCGTGCCCTGAGCCTGACAAGAGGGGGGTCGCTTGGTCGACTCGAGGCGTAGGAGGGCCAAGGCATGACGCCTGGGCTCCTAGGCCAGACGCAGGCGTCATGCCTTGGCCCTGAGCCCAGGAGGCGCTGCAACCCTGACCGGTCTTCGAGCAGAGGCTCACCCATCGGAGGCAGCCCAGCTCTGAGCTTTGGCCGCAAGGCGCCACATGCGACGCGGCCGTGCCAGTAGGCCCCTCTCTGCCAGAGTGTCCGCCACTTCGGCCACTGACTGAGGCTGGGAGGCCCGATCCAGAGCCTCTTTTCGGCGTCCCGCCCTCGCGGCTCAGACGAGGAGCCTCTGAGCCCTGGGGCCCCACCACTCTCGCGCCCGACTGCTCCAGCCTCCGGGCGTGCTCGATTCTGGATCCTTCTCAATTCGAGCTGTCGATTTAAACTCCCTCTCCGCTAGCTTGGGTTTCTCTTGACTTCTACTTTTTTCTGATGGCCGCTGCCAGGTTGCAGTCCCAATCAGCCCGTGGTCAGGTAAGAGACATCCCGAGCAGCAAATAATGAGTAGTGATGCCATCGTGTGGACCCCAACCAGCAAGTTCGTGTAACAATGTTTGTGGAACCCCGGAGACAAAATACCCAACTACTCTTCCATGGAAACCAACGGCTCCCCAAGCGGCCACGGGAAAGTGCGGCAAACGGGGCTTGTGGGCGGGAGGACCTTTAAGAATCCACAGAAGCCTAAAGGAATCCAAGCGGCCACAGGGGAAGTGCGGCAACCGGGGCCACTTAGTTCTTTGGAGCCCAAATATAAGCCCCTCAGTGCAAGCACTCCTCGAGGAAACATGACCAATTCCAAAACAACGAACCCTGACTATTGCTATTGCCTTTGTATGTATCTCTCTCTCTCTCTCTCTCTCTCTCTCTTCTTTGTCATATACCTATCGTTCTCCCTCTCTTGTCTCCCTTTCTCTCTCTCTCTCTCCTGCTCTCTCTCTCTCTCATTCTTCCCTCCCTCTCTCTCTCTCTTCATCTCATTGCCTCCCCTCCTCTGCCTATCTCAACCCTCGATTTCAATAATTGTCACTTCCTGACGCGGTCCTGTAAGGCGCTGGCTGCGTCGAAAGCCCTCCACAAATGGACCACGGGCACCATGCAGGGAGCTGGGACCCATGACCAAACAACTACAAATCGACCGAGTGTACTTTGCGGAACCCAAATCATCCGACGACGGTCGCAAATCCAGATCCGCGACCGGTGATCGGGTCGATAGAAAAAGGAGTCAGGCCATGGCTCGCATAACCATTCTAAAGGCGCAAGGAAATCTGCTACCGTGCCGCGAGGCTAGAAGTGGAATGACTGTCCTGAGGTAGCTTCGGATTTGCTGTGTTGAATATTGTCGATGCTCTATCAAGGGGCCTGGACCCACGAGTTCCAGAAATGCTCGTGCACTCTTGCACGCTGCTGGATGACTTCCCCAGGGTCGGCAACCATGGGGAAAAACATTGTTTTGTCAATGTTTTCGGCCCTGGGAAAAGACAACGATCTGGCCCCGCGAGCCCTCTTGTGCCAAAACGGCCCCCAAGACTGCCAACCAAGAGCCAAGTGACTTCCAAGAGACCACCAAGAGGACCACTAGAGGCCCCCAAGAAGCCTCCAAGAGGCTCCCGATAGGCATCCCAAGAGACCCAACGGGACATGTACGAGGCCTGCGACCAACAATCCAAGCACGGTAACGGGATGGGCCGGAAGCATCTGCCGCCCCAAAGGCCTGCTAGAGGGGTGTGGGCGTGCCAGAGTACATATGCGTATATTCATAGATGAGAGAGCGTGATCCACCGCCGCTTTACTTGGAAAATTCCCCCCCCCCCCCCCTCTTCCTCCGGAACCTGGGGGTCCCCACCCCACCCTTCGAAAATCCCCCCCTCCCCGGCTGGACCCCCCCCCCTCCTTCCCCCCGGCAGCACCCCCCCCACCCCGCTCTCCCCCCCCCTCCTCCGGAAAACCGGGGGGGGGTCACTTCCGGTTCGATCCAACCACACCCCCTTCAGAAAACCGGGGGGGGGTCACTACCGGTTCGAACCCCCCCCCCACATTCCAGAAAACTGGGGGGGGTCACTACCAATTCGAACCCCCTCCCCCTCCCCACTCACCGCCGGCAAAGGACTCCCGGGTCCCCACCACCGTCCGCATCACATCCCCCACTGCTGTCCCCCCACTCTCCCACCCTTGTCCCACCACGGTCCCGCTTTCCCACTTTCCCCACGGTCCCACTGTCCCCACCACTCTCCCCACTGAACTACTGTCCCACCACCGTCCTCACCACCGCCTTCACCACTGTCCCCACCACTACCGTCCCCACCACTGTCCCACTGTCCCCACCACTGTCCCGCTGTCCCCTCACCACTGTCCCCACCACCACCGTCCCCACTACTGCCCGCACCACTGTCCCACTGTCCCCACACCACTGTCCCCGTCACCACCTTCCCCGCCACTGTCCCAGTATCCCCACCACTGTCCAAGTGTCCCGAGGAGCGGGAATCGTTTGCCGGTGCCGGTGGCGAGGGGGGGGGGTTCGAACCGGTACTGACACCCCCACAGGTTTTCGAGGGGGGTGGTTCGAACCGGTACTTACCCCCCCCTTCTCATGATGGACTGGGAGGGGTTCGAACAAGTAACTAGTGACCCCCCCCGGTTTTCGGGAGGGGACGGGTTGGGAACCCCCACTGACCCCCCCGTTTTTCCGCCAGCAGCGGTACAACACGCTCTCTCTCACACATATATGTATATATACATATCTATATATAGATGCACATACATACATACATCCATCCATCCATCCATCCATCCATACATACATACATACATGCATGCATGCATGCATGCATGCATGCATACATACGCACATACATACGCACATACACACATACATACATACATACGTACATACATACATACATACATACATACAGACAGACAGACAGACAGACAGACAGACAGACAGACAGACAGACAGACATACAGACATATATATATATACGTATATATAGACAGATAGATAGAAATAAGGAGTAGGTGTAACACAACTTTGCTTGGTGACGCAACTTTTGCTTCCGCCGAGTAAGACATGTCAAATCCTGCGATGGACGAGGCCCTTTCGGGAAAACCCCATATGGAGCTCTGTTATTACTTCCACCGAAAACGTCCTGGTGGCCTCCGACCCAACCCGCAAGCCACCCGAAAACGACTGCAGCAGGTAGAGCCAATGGGTTAGTCCGTCCAAGATGGCTCCAAGAGGGTGTTCAAGAGAACCTCATTCAATCAGCCAGAATTTCCTCCGAGTAAGCTGAAGAAGTATCCAAGACGGCCCATGCGGCCCCCGGGACGCCCCAAGAAAGCTCCAAGAGGTTACCAAGGAGAGCCTCGAGGGCGAAATAGTAATATTCTACGTGAATTGTTCACAGATTTTCGGATTTTCTCGTTTTCGGTTTCATGAGCGACCAAGGTGGCCCAAGAAGCCTCCAAGATCACTTCAAAAAGGCACATAAAGTCCCCAAAAAGACCCAAGAAGGTCCCAAGACGGAAGACGGCCCAAGAGAGCCACAAGACGGCCCAAAAATACGAAGAGACGACGCCCGTTCACATCGTTCCCGCAATGGTTTCCCTCAGGACTGGGGTAACACGCAATCTACAGCATGGCTGGACTTTCCGACAACAGTTCGCAACGCAAGCGTCTCCAAAAGGCAAGGGGCGGTGGTGACTCGCCGAAGGCGTCTTCGACACTCTTTGTAACGAATTCACTTGGTAGCGTCCAAAACCCGGAGAGCAAAGAGTCAACTCTGGAAAGCTTTCCTGACGAGCTCTGGGGAGCTCTCCTGAAGCGCTTCTGAAGCGCTGCCAGCGACGCGTCCACGCGTGCCTGCACGCGTGCAGGCACGCGTGGACGCGTGCCGGAAGCGCTCCCGGACCCGCTGCCGGGACAAACAAGTCCCTGCGGGGATTCTGGACCGGCGAAGATGGGCTGCTGGCAGGCACCACCACCGTCCGGCTTCTAATCTTAAGCCCTATAGCTCTCAGAGAGCTCTCCGGGAATCAAAATCAGCGGCCTTCCAAGTCAATAGCGTGTTTGGTGCAGCCCGCCACCTTTCCACTAGAACCATGCGCACGCTTAGGTTCTGGCGCAGGCCGGGGGCCAGGGCGCTGTCACCACACCATGGATTCATGATTTCCGTAACAGTTTTTCCCGTAGCATTAATAAATATGTTTGAATTTATGTAATGTAACTGCATAATATTACTGTAATGACTCAAGGTATACTGAAAACAGGAACTCAAAATAAGCAAACAGATATGTAAATGCAACAGAACAAAGCAGTGAAGGACAGGAGAACAGAAGCAGATGACACTTCAGTCAATAAGCATCACTACAAATAGTATGAAGTGCTTCTCTAATGTTTATTTATTTATTCATCATTCATTTATTCAATTGTTTTATGTATGTATTTATCTACTTGTTTATCTATTTATTCATTCATAGTTATTTAGGTGTCAGAAAAGTTACCACAGGGAAAACCAACAGCAGACCCAGGGCTGAGGAAACGCTGGAGCAGTGCTCTGGTGGTCCTTCAACCGCCCAGCTCCGTCCCCTCCCACTCTGGACCGATCTGGCGGGAAGCTGGCTTGTGGCAGCTCATCGCGCGTCCATAGCGTTCGTGTGTTTGCTTTTACCTCCTTTAATGTC